GGCCAGCTGTAATTCAGTTTTGATGCCCTGTATACCAGGAAAGGTACACTGTTTTGAAATCTATGGGACAGAGAACCAGTTCTCCTCTTATTCATGAGTGGAAATCCACAATGGTGTCAGCAGAGCAGAAGTCCATAGATTCTGTCCAAACCTTTCAACTTGAGTGAGAATTAAAAATTGTAGACTACAAAACAAACATGAGCGTGACAGAAAGCCCAAAAGTCATGCTCAGCTGTCATCAATCCAGCAAGGCACTTAAATATATGTTTAGTTTTAAGCATGGAATCAATCCTCATGAAGTTAAGCTTTGCTGGATAAGGGCTATGTCTTTCTGCATCGTATTACTCTTCAGTGTTAGTAGGCTGGCAATTTTCAAATCGCATTCACAAGCTTTCTTTTCACTCTTGAACTGAATGTTAGCTTAGACAACACTGTGACATACATTCCAAACTCAGACAGCTAACTATTGCAACAGTCAGTAAAACAAAACGGCTACAAAATTTTCCAAACCCAATCTGAACACATGCAATATAGAATTGTAGAAACTTCAGAGAGCCGAGTGCAAATCATTCCTTTTCATCATTGGAAAATGGCAAAATTTGAAGTAGTTTCCTGACACAAGCAAATTATTTTCTGTACACATGAAAGGCACTATTCCGCTAGTACTCAGCAATATTCTCCTGAATTACTGACACATTCTGAAGTGGGTATCTGACAGACAGCAATTTGTCAGTTAGATCTTTCTCAGTCCATTCAATTATCTGCATGGCTTGCCTATAATTACCATCTTTCTTTATTTTAGCATATTAGTAATGACTATATGGGGACTCTAACTACTTCATATGATCATGTGTCATCAAGGCCCTGATACAGCATCTAATAATTCTTTGGCAAACAATATATCCCTGGTCACATGGTTGTGTCAGAGGAGAATCCTACTAAAGTTATTTATAATGATAAGCATGGCACGATACCTGTCTTGTAAAAGAAGATGTGTATGAGACTGCTTCGGAAAATGCAGCACTGCAATTCAATATAAATCGTCCTGAAATGTGGTCCACAGTTTAGGAAGAGCTATACAATGACAAGACCTGCTATGCAATTTAAGGTCAGCATTATTTTCCAAGACTGCCTCTTCCTACAGCAGTACACTCTGTTTTTTGGAGCAGGTGATATTAAATTTAGGAAAAATAATTTTAAAAAATGTCTCAAGGATTCATGGCATTAGCAAACACAATTTCATGCATTTTTGAGCTGGGGATCAGCTGTGATGGAAGAAATTGGTGCCCCTAGTCTTTTAAAGTTACCTGGCTCAGAAATATGAAGATACAGTACAATCTGCTAGATCTGGCACTGTAAACATCGATGCCCTCATCAATGTCAACTCAGCTGATCACTAGGCAGGCATTCAGAACTAGATTTTGGAACTACTATTAAGTAGTAGTAGTAGTAGTGTAAATACATCTGAGTTGCCCAAACTGTGCACGGAAGAGCAAACGTTTGCTTGTAGGCAACTAGTTCTGTAAGCCCAGCCTCTATCTCTGCTCCTTTCAGGTTCAAATATAAGCCATCATGAGAGTATCAGCAGCATATCGTCATTCTGAAAAATAGCAGAGAAGACAGTAAGAATAGAGACGGATGCTCCTACAGCAGTGCACTTTCACAACTCTTCTGCAACAAAAGACTCAAGAATGAAAATGAATCTCTTCAGCTTTGCTGCTATACTACAGCAGAAATGTCTTGAACGCCAGGAAATAAGGTCATCTACATGCTTGAGGACAAACGTGTTTACTGTTATTCTTGGCTATTCAATAAAGCATTTTAATAATGCTGTACTTATTTCCATCTTAAGATTTGTGTAGTTTAACTGCACAACTACCTAATTAAGGTGAAAAACCCTAACTGGGTACTAATACTGACATTGATTACAAAGTGTAAAGCAAGTAACAAATATATCGCTCCTTTTCCTGTAGGATTTTATTAGAAGGATCCAATTCCTAAAAAAGCTCAACAGCAGAATTCATTCTTTAATTTGTATCAAAATAGATTTTAAATAGCCTTAATTGTAAACTCATTTCCTGGTGTAAACAGTGTCCTACATGTGAGCTGGTTGAACTCAATTATTTAATCAGGTATACTGAGACAAGGAACTTTTTAATTTAGTTCTTACTCACTAAGTTTCTTTAGTATGTTCTCAGTGACACAGTAATGGGAAGTTTTATATATAGTCTTAAGTGCAAAATATTAATATATTTAAAAATGTATCAACTTTTAGTTGATAGATTTGTTTTGGTTTATAAACATTAAAAAATTAAAAAAATCTATGTATAAAGTTAACTGTGCTTCTTTAGAAGATCTTTCACTCATATACTGTTTCAAAGCTTAGTAGCAATGCAAAATATGCACACTGTCTTGGTGATTTGCAGTCTTATGACTACTGAAACGTGGAATGTTACCGATTGTTTTTAATAGTCTGGGCCAGATCCTGCTGTCATTTACATCAGCTATTCCTTATATCAGGTTTATGCTAGTGGACAGGATACCAAAATCTGGCTTCTACTGGGGCTTGAAAAGAAGTACACCATATTTCAAATTTGTATACAATCAAATCAAGGATCATGGTCTCCTGATAGACTCTTTTATCTCTCTATATCTTATCTGCAATACTGAGTGTCAGACACCCATCTTCATTAAGCTTGTGGAAATATATAAAGAATGGAGAATGCATCAGATTCTTGACTAATGAAGTAAGCTTACTTCCCTCAATAATCAAATTAAATTAAATCATAACCAAGGTGGGTTTTATTGTCAGACAATCTGGTTTATGTCTGGATTCTATTCTCAAATGACAGCAATAATTGATAGTTACTCAGCACCCAGTTGATGTTATTTGCTTAGTTTCTTCTAAACTTACAAATGAGCTTACGAGGGCCAACGCAAAATGTCTGTCATGGTGTAATATTCCACCAATTTTTGTTTATATTTACATATACAGCATTACTCATTAATGATAAAACAGATTTTTCAAGTATGAAGTTCTGCATGTAATTCTCTTTTTCACTATGCAGACAGTCAAACTTATAGTGTGCATCATCAGAAGTGATACAACATACAACCATTTCCTCTTCTTTCTCTGCCACACTGTTCATCTTCTTTGAAAAGAATGATAAATATTCAACACTGCCATCAAAAACTGTCACTGCAGTTTCTCTATAAGCAGAGCACTTGAAGGGGGAAATGATGTCCTCAACAGTGCATGCCTGATAAGTACCTTAGACTCTCTGGTCCTATAGTTGAGATATTTTGACAAAGCCGAGAAAAGTTCTGAACTCGACTCCTTTCCTTCCATGGAAAGTAAATGTCAAAAGCAAAAGAACTATAAAGATTTTTCTCCAGTCTTCTTGTTAGCCTTGTTGGTAGTGTTTGATTGTCTGCAAAAGGAGAATGAAAACAACAACAGAAAGTCCCATAAGTGGGGACATTTGAGAGTACCGCATAAAGTCCACACCTCTTCATGACTGAGCAGCAATATCCAAAGAGGAGTTAAATGCTTTGGTTGCCTTGAGCTAGCATGTTACAAGAAAGGTATGCTTTCCTTCCACGTAGGTAAAAGTGCTTGGTAGCTGATGAAGCAGGAATGACACTCAAATTACTGATGGAAGGAAGGTAGAAATGTGAAATGTCTCCTGTCATTTACAGCACAGGTAATCAGAAGCGCAGTCTCTTTCCTTAACAGTTGCTTAAAGTCCTTCTCGGCACATAGGGAGGTTGACAAAGGTGAAGACATTAAACTCTATCAATATAGAGAAACACAGGAAAACAGCATAAAGAAACAACACATAGATGCCTAATTTCTTGTCAAGTTTCCATTTATTTACATGGATCCCAAACACCTGCAAGAAAACAAAGTGTTAGTTAATTAAGCCTCAAAGGAGACTTCTAGAAACAATTGTAAGCTGAAAATGACAATGATCTCTTCAATTAGAGATCCTGGACCAAGATAAAAATATATATTCTTGGCATTTTACAGATTTTAAAAAGGCAAAATATTTCTTTTTTTAAATAAGAATGTAAGAACCCAATCCAATAACTCAAACTCTGGCCTTACTCTCACTTGCCTGAAGAACCCTTTACAAAACATTAAATGGACCCACTTCAAGGCCACTTGAGTTCATCATGCAACAGAGAAACAAAACAGGCCCCTGGGTGCTCTGTTTCAGGGCATACTGCATTTTCAGTACATCAGGCACATTCTAGTTAGGCAGCATTAATTCCCTGCTTCATTATGAACTAGGGAATACACTGAATATGCTTCTCCCTCCAACGCTCTGTTGTACACCCTTTACATCCCAGTTGAACACAAGCACCTAACGTTCACTCTTTCAACAGCTCTAGAAGAGTTTCTTTGACATTTTACTCAGCTCCTGAACTAGGAAGAACTACAAGCAGTAAAGCAATTAAATTCACATGAAGGTGCTATGAGTTTCTGCACTGATTTTTGCTATGGGAAGGTCTGGGGGAATTAGGGTATCCAGTAGAAAAAAATCAAGACAGTAGATGGTTTGAACTCAGATGATATTGCTGCAAAGATTCTTTTCAGAAATCCCTGAGTTTCCAGCATAGTAACATCTGCATAATCCTCCCATGTATTCAGAAGTGCTGGTTACCAATACTCATGCAGCAATATCAGATACAAGTGTCTAAAGAACTTTTTTGCTCCACAGGCACCATGCAGCACGGCACAACTGGAGATAGGAAAAGTAAAGAACAGGCTCCCACACCTTATATTAGCAGATACACTAGGAAGTTAGTGGCAAAGCGAACAGATCTGGACATTCTATCATTTAACACATGCACAGGTGATGTGAAGTTTGCTAAAATCTAGCTGTGCAAGAGTGTAGCATCTCCAGTGATGATCCCCTCCTTTAAAAGGGTCTCCGCAGGCAGTGAAAGATATAAGTGGGTATTTTTATACCTTTGGGATTTGATTCTTTCCACAGATGGCTCTCTGGGAGTCAGCAGGATCACAGTACCCTAAGTACCAGCAAAACTGACTTTTGAAGCAGAACTACTGTTTCACCTTAACAAGTCAGTATTATAAAGGTGAGTTGTACTTTACATGCCTATTCAACATCCTGACGTTCACAGCCCTCACAGACCAGTCATTGTTAAGGTTTTGGTAACAGTGCATTGTTAGTCTAGGCTGGTTTGAAAATCAGAGATGGGAGGATGAAAAAAAGGGAGGAAGCATACCTGGGTCTTCCCCAGCACAGAGTACAGACAGACCTAGGGTATGCAGCTGGACACAGGACCAGAGGAATACTGAAATCAAAGGGATTTATACACTTCTAGCAACTCTTCTGCACCAAATGTCAGATTTCAGTCCTGCCACTGGAAGACAATGGCAGTTATTCTAACTCATGGCATTACTATAAGAATAGTACTTTAAAAGAATCAATATTTTGGGGATGATGAGTACTTCCAGTTTTTCCTTGTAGAGTACGTGAAGTTAATACCTGATAATTATTTTGCAATCAGAATAGTCTGAAGAGTCACATTCAGAAATACACTAATACTTACAGTCAGTGCCACTGATCCTAGTAAAAGTGCAACTGAATAGACCAGTCCTTTACTGTTTATCTTAACCTGTGTGAATTAAACACAGAGAGAGAATAATTCTTTAAATCACCCAGAATATGAAAACTTTGTTTTAGAGATCAGAAATAAATTTACTGATTCATGGTAGTCCACCTTCTGCCTTGAACTGTGACTGACTGCCTTCTTCTAAACTATGCAAATCCACAACAGATTTAAAATGGAGAATGGGAACGTTAAGGATTTAAAGCAAATGTGTAAGGAATCCCAATTCTAAAAAAAGAAAATAGCACGTATAATGGATTTCAAGTTAAAAGATCCTCATGAGAGAAAGAGATGTTACTTTCTAGTAGTTTCTAGATGTTGTTATTGTTATCTTACAAAAATACTAAGGTACAGGGAGTCAGATATGCTTGAAGTTGTGCAGTGAGAAAATGACAGTGCCATGAAAGATATATATGGCCTTATTATCTGATACAGATTGTAATGTACTTCATTTGACAAATTGGGAATTAATTGCAGTTGGTGGAAGAAGCATTGCTCCTGTAACTCCTGGCAAAAAAACAAACACAACACCTTATTTAATAACCAATAAAATGCTAGCACTTGCTTTGTTAAATCAGTTTTCATTTGCATGCTTTCTTTTTAGGATATGATGGTGATTTTTTTGTTTGTTTTGTTTTAAATAGAGAAAAGAAAAACATTAGAAATACGCTCAGTATACATACAGTTGATCCATAATCAATTGCCATGGTCTGCAAACCCCACGGAACACCAAGGCCCACCAGAATGTCAAATACATTACTTCCTATTGTGTTGGATACTGCCATGTCACCAAGGCCTGCAAAGAAAAAGCAAATTTCAGGTGAAAAAAAGAACAGAATGAGTGCTCTGTATCCAGAGGAAATTAAAGAGGACTGATTGGCATTGATCCAAGTCCTCCTGGACTGGCTAGAGCATCTGAGGCAAGGAGACAATATTCATAATTAGAAATTATATTTAACGTTGGCTGACATCTCATTCTGCACCAGTTCTAAGGAAGGCAGAATCCTCTTCCTCTGCTACTTCTCTTTAAGGACCAGCCTTACTGCTGAGATACTTCTACAAAATGCATACCAAGAAAGAAGAGGAACTGTCATGTATGGGACAAACCCTGCAAATAGTCAGAGCACACAGAGCAGAGACAGACACTCCCAGATCACAAATACAGTCTCTATTTAAAGGGAAAAAGAAATATTTCAATCCATTTCTATGGCAGTACCCCTCTCTACTCTTTAGATATCCTTGTAGCCATTTTTTTTGATTTCAAGTACTGCAAAAATGTGTCCTTCAATGAGACCACATGCTTTTCCACAAGCTACCACTTAGCTTCACTTTCAGAGGAAACAATCCTTAGAGGAGTTTTACCAAACATTAAGAAAGAATTAATCTAAAGCAGCCGTCTGTTCATTTAAAAACATGTTCTCCTTCTGTTCCTTCAAAAATCTGTTTTCTTGGTACTACATATGGAAAGCTAATCTAGTCAGAAGGCAGTTCCGTAAGAATCTTGAATACTTCTGTGAGACTCAATGCTTTTATGAGATTTTTCCTGCACACAACAGATAATATAAGCTGGAGAATGAAGCATCTTAATTCTTAATTCTTTTTAATCAAGCAACATTTAAGAGCACTACTTCTATCTCAAAGGTGGTACATTTGGGTGCTTATCATTTCAGAACCCCTGCTGTTTGCCCAATTATGTGTTCTGGAGATCTCATTATTTGGAGAAAAAAAAAGAAAACAACAAAACAGTGCAGGGATTGGAGTAGTGAAAAAGAGTAAAATCAGGACAGGTTCTTATTCTACTGCAGTAGAGGAGATCATACTTTCAGGTTAATGTTTTTCAACAACAGGAAGGCATGTGGCTACAGACATTTCTCAAAAAAGGAAATGTAAAAAACTTTCTCAGAATGTTAAAGATACATGAAAAAAAGTTAAAATTTCAACTGAAAACTCAGTGATGACATAACCAATATTAATCTAAAACCTCTTCCAGTGCTACTTTTCATACATTCCAAAGGGAAGGAGATTTGCCTTTTGATGAGAAGTATGCTTGGAGCGACAAAGTTTTTGCTAGATCATCTTAGACTACTTAACTTCCCTGGGTTCAATAAATCTTCTAGAAATCAATACAAGTTCTATATGGAACAGTGCTGATTAGCATAGATTTCTCAATAAAATTTTGTAATAGCTGATACTTCAGTTTTGTCTACTACTTCTATCTTTTTATTCAGACTGACACATAGCATGCATGAGATATCTAACTGTCAAATGCCCATCTGGAATGCTAGGCTGTGCCCAGTTCCAGTGAGTAAAAGGTAACAGGACAGGGAAGATGTTTTGGCACACAGTACTTAGGAAAGTGTTCTGTTTTTTCATCTGGGCTCTGAAACAGTACAAATAAAAATAATTAAAAATAACAAAATTGCACTGAAGAAGCAAATCGTAGAGCATGCAGGTAGGACCACAGGTATCCTTCTGCAGATACAGTACCTTGTCTTGCAACTATTAAGCTGGCCATGCAGTCTGGGACGCTTGTTCCTGCAGCTAGGAAAGTAATGCCCATGATCACATCTGGAATCCCAAGGGTGTATCCAATCACAGTCACCTGAACGGTAAGGAAAAGAGATAAACCTGTCAGATTTGGAAAGTCTCCTCAATCCAATACCACTGTAGCATACTCTGATCTCTGTTGTAGATCCTTGAAGAATTAGACTCAAGATCCATGTCTGCAAATGAAGTAATGTGGAATAACTAGCCTAAAATCAACCTTGTGAAAAAAAAAAGTACCTTGGACATAGACTTCAGCATTTCTGAGCAAACAGTAAACTCCACTTTCTGTACTTCTAAGAGGACGTACTGATCTTTTAAAGAGAAGCACAGACATGGACTCAATCTGTGGTTTTGTTTTTATTTTATATCCAATAATAGCAAAATTGTTATTGCTTCTTTTTGAAAAAGGATTGGAATCAATTTATAACACGATGCAGTGTCAGAGACATAAGGAAATTATTATATTCCAGCACATGAAGAAGGAAACTCCTTTTCAAGTTTTTCAAATAACTCCTGATATAATCCCAAAGTGAGCAGCTCCGGCTATATTTTCTCCTGAGAGGCCAGATGCAGCTTTACAACTATTAAGGGAAGGGCTGTAGCTTGTAGCAGAGCTCTTGGAAAGGACAGGGAACGTTATCTAACTGGAACATCCAAAAAAGACTGAAAAAAGGTGAAGAGAAAAAAAAACACCAACGGGCAACTGAGCATGCAAAAGAAACAGCCCTGTGAGAGTGAGAAGACCAAAGCAGGAAGACAGCTCCTTCCTTGCAGAGAATACCAAGGGTGAGAGTCTTCAAGTTTCTATGCTGTCTTCTTGAAATAGCTTGTCAGCCTCATGCATGAGGAAGACTGGACCCTTTGCCAAGGAAAAGATGTACTTCAGAAACCCACTCACAAACCTTCGTATTCTCAAAGGCAAGTTGTAGCTCAGAAATAGAAGGAGGCATGATTCTCCTGTTGTAAATGGTAATACTATAAGGTCTGGCAGCATCTTAAAAAAAGAGGTGTTGCAGCCTTGGAGAGCATGTCTTGTCTGTGAAGGGACATCTACAAATGGAACCAAGGAGCAGAGCATGGTCTGACAAAGGACATATGGTATGAAATGAATGTGTAGTTTTGGCACTGTTATACCAGGCAGAATGAGTGGCTGGCATATGGATCTCTCAACCTTCAGAGACAGGAATTACTTTATAGTGCAAAACATTATGTATCAAGTGTGTATTAAAAACAGAAGGAAGCATAAATATAAAGCAAATGTCTGACACATTTGGAGAAGGTATGAATGTTCTCCACCCAAAAAATATTTTACAAATAAGTTCAATAACAAAAAGTCTTCCATATATACAACTATAAGAGTATACATATGGCTATGACTGTGTATGTAGCATATACAGCTATATGTTCTCCAGAACAAAACAAGATGACTACTTCTTCACTGTATTTTCCTTTAAAAAGAAAGCTGATCACAGAATTCTTCGGCAGCACATCCTACTTATCTTCTAGCTACAGGTATAAACAGCTGTGTGGGTTTGCATCTTTTAGTGCAGAAAAAGGTAACCTTCTATGTTTTAAAAGTATAGTTCCCACCACAGAAACTAGACGAGGAGCTCTTCTATTCACTTAATGTCACTTTAAATTCACTTAACTCTGACTGAAAATGTGAACTTGATAACCTGAAAGAGGGTAAAAAGAAAACATAAACCTATTTAATACTTCCAGTAAATGTGCTCCTAAATTGATCACAATTTACAGATCTACACCTGATACACTGCTTTTCAAAAAAAGGGTAAATGGAAACATGTAAGAAAGTATGATATGAAGTATAACAGTCTTTCTCTAAGACTTTCTTGAATTATTCGACTCTACTTAAGGAGGTTTATAGCACTTTAAATTTTGCCATCCATCTGCCTCTTATACATGTTTGTTTCAGCATCAGACCATATCACCCAATTTCTAAAGGTATCTAAGAATAGCTGTTAAGAACTGAATACTTTCATTTAAATTCTCTTTCTTTAGTAGGATGTGAATGACAACATTATTTGAAAATCAACTTGTATTGGGCACTATACAGTAAGGGACCAATAATTTGTGCAGAAAAGAGTAGCAGAAAGATATAATTTTAATAATTAAGAGTATAAACTGAAAAGACAACACTATGATTACAAGTCTTTAACAAATACACAAAAGATCTATAACCTATTTTGAGATTCAAATTTTACTCTCTGTGGCGGATTTTGCTACATGGACTTACCATCCACACCATAAAGTAGGAGAACAAGGCAATCCAGAGAGTGGATAAGATGAATGTGAACATAAACCAGCTCTCCCAGCGGGGTTTGTTGCAGTTTGGAATGGTGCAAAATAGCACAAATATCAATGGCCATGTCAAGATCCATTTAAATTTATTCATTTTTCCTTCTGCAAGACAAAAACAAAGGAAAAAACTAGTTTAATTTTTTTCATTAGTATCACAGGCCCAGACCTCTTTGAACACAGCAGATGACAAGATCTCAGAAGTCTGGTTACAACTGTGCACGTCAGCTCATTTTCCAGCATACCTTTTATCTATGCTTGCTCTCCCTCTGCACTCTCAAGCAAATTCTGCCCTTGCATGCACATCCAGAATCTTAATGCTAAGCCTGCCAAAGTGTACATAAATCCAAGTAGGATTTACAAGGATTTAAAAGCGTGGCTGCTTTTATAACCAAAATGAATGTTCCGATCTATTGCACTTTCAAATACCTGCATTACTATTAATCCAGAAGCAAAATTAAACAAACAAACAACAAAACAATATTTTAAAAAAGAAGATGGAAAACCTTGTAGTTCAAATAACCTGCGGTTTACGTGCAGCAACAGAAAATACATGCAGACCCAACCTGTGAACATGATAAACTGCTTTCACATATCCAAATGTGGACACTTGGGCAGAACTTCAACCTAGGCCTTATGAGATGCAGATTTGTTAACTCTCTCCAGTTGCACATAATTCCACCCTGGGTTAGTCTCCTTATCCTCTGTAAAACAATGACTTGTACAGCTCACTGAAATCAACAAGTGAGCAATACCAGACCACTGTCACTGCTGATGAATGCAAGAAGAGATTTTCTAGTTTTTCAACAGAAGTGAAGTTGTTTAAGAAAAATCCTAAAGGGCAAGTAATAATCAGGGAAAACACCCATCAGTTTCACAGAAATTTTCTTTCTTCAACAACGCTGTAAGTTAGGACTTGTTCAATGCAAGTTTTTTTGTCAGTGAATTCAACTGAATCAGATCTGTCCTCTACCAACGTGTACCAGACACAAATATATCAAACATTAAACCTTTGAAAATTAATAACACTTTTGCAATTTATGAGATTTCTTAATAGTTGTCCAAATGCAAGTCCTCATTCATTTACCTAGATACATATCCTATTGCTAAGTTAGAGATCAGCTCCTTAAGATTTCCTTGTGGATTCTAAGATGCCATTAACCATTGACTGCTTGGCTATTTATTCCCTTTTAGCCTGTGGCCATGGAACTTCTAATGCAAAAAAGGTACTAAAGTCTCCTCATCCAACCCCACTTCTACATTTTTACCGTGACTCTGTGAATGTAACACAGATTTTACAGGTAAGACTTTTTACACCCTAGTTTCATGTACCATTACACAAGTTTTAACAACACTAATTTTTCTGTTCTGTCCAGAAAAAGAAATGACACTTTTTAGCTCATGACTCACTAACTTTCTTAATGAGGCTGTAAATATCCTATGGCATTTTATACCTCCTCCTGTTCAATTTGTTTTGATTTGGATCATTAGAAGATTCCTGCTGGTTAATTTGTGCTCTGTATACCCATGCTGCTAAGCCTAGGTCATAATCACACAAGTCAGTATGGCCCAGGCGGATAATTTCCTCAGTAAAAATTCCAAATGCAGGGTGTGTGGGTGACTGTTCGACAGCAAAAAATTACGGATCCGATTCTGTTCTGATGTTGGCTAAATCTGAGCGACTTCATTGGTGCTACACATAGGGGATTCAGGCTCATTTGTCTTTCAAATAACATAAAAAAAAAAACAAAATTGCCTGTGGAACAAACAGGGAATAAACAGATGCTCTCAGCCTCTGTTGGAGAATATGTGTCTTGTCACAGATCCTACCTATAATGTACTGAATTATTTAAACAAATGCTTAACTGTGAGAATTGCAGGGCCTTACCGCTGGCATTGCTATGCTTGCTCAGGTCCAGGAAAACAGAAATGTTGGTGGAGAACTACCTGTCTTCCTTGTATCTTACTAGCGATGCTCTATCCACAAAAAAGCTTGGGATAAACTGCATTGTAGAGCCACACGGTTCATGAGGTGATGTTTGTACTCATCACATATCAAGCAAGCTTGAGATTTTAGGGACTAGAAACAGCAATTTTAGGTTTTGCTGGGTTTTGTTGGCCACTTGCAGTTAAGAATAATTCTGAACTTTTATACTGGCTTTTATACTGGCTGCTCTTTTATAAACTTTTATATAAAGCCTTAAATGTACCTAGCCTTAGTTCTCCAGCTCTTACTACATTGGGTCTTGGAACTAGTGTGGTACTCAGTGCTAAAGAAGTCTTATGCTTTTAAGCTGTAACTTGGTGGTTTAGCAAGAATGCAGTGCATTTAGCAGCAACTTCAGTAAAGTGCAACCTCCCTTCCTTTGGATCCTGATGCTTTCATTCACATCACCTGGCTAAACTGAATACAAAAACATCCAGGTTGAAAAGTTAAGTTCTTTTAAAACTACTTACTGTGCTGCTCTTTCTTTTTTTTTTTTTTTGGTTTGCTTGTTTTTTTTTTGGTTTGTTTTTTTTTTTTTTTTTTTTTTGACTGCTCACTCTAGAATAACTCAACATGTCAAATTGTTTTATGATTATTGTTTAGCTTCCTAGTATATCTGCAAGGAAGAAAAATTTTCATCCTCATTAAGCCTATTATTCAATACATAGCTGTTCTGTAAAAGTACACCAACAGCTCTATTACAGGATGTTAGCTCAGTTGTTTTACAAGCAGTACCAGCTACTCCTACTTCCAGCTAGCGAGAGAATACTGCTTTATTATAGAAGGCAACATCATTATAGAAGAGCCTATTTACAATGTTTCTAAAAATGCATTAAGAGAGAGCCCTACAGCAAAGAGTCCTTCATTAAATCTCAGCATATTTCTGGGCTTATCATCTTTCCAGATGTTCTCAGCATTGATCACAAGAACTATTTTCATATACATATAGAGTACTGTTGAAAGAAGTCAAAAACACACCTTGCAGCACTGATAGGAAAGGAATATTTTCCTTAAGGCACAATGGAAAGTGACTTTCTGTAGGAAAAACACTATCCTATTTAGAACATTCACATAGAGTAGAGATGCACTTTGCACAAAAGCATGAAATTACACTTGTGTTTGCATTCAGATCAGTTTTTCAGATCTTAAATAAATCTCCCAACACTTCCCATTTACTGTCTTTTGGTTTGCAAAACAGAGCAGCCCTGGGTCACACCAATGAAATTCCACTGACATATAACTAGAGGTACACACCTAAATAATGATGAGCAATTTAGTCCATGGGACCACACTACAGCTAGCCTCAAAGATAACTTCCAAATGCTTACAGTGTAGATAACCTCAGTCAATAAGCCGCATGAAAAACATTCATTGAGTTTGGACAGACTCCAACTTGGTCTTCCCTTTAAAAGAATAGGAATCTAGCACAGACCACAGCTTCACACATTGACTACTGCAGAACATGTCTTCAGAAAACTGGAATGTCTACAGCTTTCAAAGGGAAAAAAATATCTTCTAAAGGCAATTTAGTAGTTGTATGATCTAAAAGAAAAATTACAACATCCCTGAAAAACATGAATCTAATTGGCATACAGGAATTTCATGGTTATATTGATATGAATCCCTTCACATTTATAACTGAAGGTAACTTGAAAGATAGAAAAGGTTTTCTCTAAGTTTACGTGTAAAACAAGGAAGGTTTCCTGGAGTTTCCTTCTATTTTTCTGTTTCTTTCTTTGTTTGTTTTAATTATTTTGACACCAGTAAATTTACAACAAAAATAAGGCATTTAATGGCCAGTCCAGGACATGTATGCTGTACTTCACAATTTTTTAATTACTTTTTTTTCTTTTTTTAATCTTTGTACATCTCTCTACCATTTACCATTAATAAAAAATGAACAAACATGTTTTTCCCCCAGTGAAAAGTGATTTTCGAATCACCTGTCTCCTGGGTCCTAATTAGGCTTTATACTAGAGATAATATTTACACTCACATATCATTAGCAACATTAATTCAAATCTTGACCTGAAATTGTGTTATGAGTAGCATACACACCTCCACATGGGAACTTGACAACAATTCAGACAGTGAGAATATTACTGCTAGAAAGTTCTGCGATTTATCAGAATTTGACTGACTGGAAAAATTTAATATATGTAAATTAGCCAATGTGAGAGCTTAATTAATTCCTGAGCATTTCCAAAATACATCAGAGGAACATCAGTTTTTGCCCAAGTATGGGACTAGCACTGAAGCAATGAGAAGAGATGTAACAAACATTGTGAATTTTCCATCAGAATTATTTTCCACTGAAAAATGCCTCTGTTGTGAAATTAAAAATCCTAAGTAAATCTAAGTAAATGCTTTTAAATTTGCCATTAGGAAAATTAACACAGAAACCACCCCTCAGACCTCTTGGAAACTGCTGATTGATTTCAGTTCTCCAAGTTTCTCTAGGAACTGTGGAAGCAAGAGACTCTCTCCATTAATGCACTACTGCCAGCTTATGCAGCAGATATAAAGGGATCCAAGAAGGCCTAGCCTTTGTCAGCCTTCCAACTGGGCAGCTGATATGTTAAAACACTGCTATTTCAATTCTTCTGCAACAGTGCTTTGGAAACAATTTTTTTTCCTCTGAAAAATACTGAGGTTTTACTTCTCACCCTCATTCAAAACAGACTGTTTTCCATTAAGACTTCTCTCAGAAGTTTCGTTTTCCAGAATGCAAGTTCCAAATTCCAGACCATAAGATCTGTCCCAAATAACCCATATTTCTATTTTCATTCTGTACCTTTGCCACTCCTTGCATGTTCAGATGTATTCCAATACTTTTCTCTTAAAGACACATCTTTGGTGTACTGGGAACTGGTACACCTAAAAAATGACTTTGCACCATTTGCAGAACCAAGCTTTACTCTCAGTTACTATAGGTTTACATAGGACAATATTCAACAGAAATTAAAAGTAACTGAGCAGGGTGATCACTATATATTGTTTGACTTGGTTGGATTTTGGCATAATTTAGTTTTATGTTTTTACTGTGCCAACTACTTTATCAATGTTTTTAAAGGGAGAAGTGGGATTCACAGAATTGTTCTTCTTTTCCCTTTCAAAATGATGAGCAAACGTAATGGAGTTACTAAATTAAACATGCACCTATTATTCTGCCAATTTCTCCTGTATTTCTTCCTACATAGAACACATTAGCTGCTCTCCTGGAACACTTTTTCTAGTTTAGTTTTCTACAAAAGGAGTCTGCTTCATGAGCTCCAAGAATACAGTTCAAATCAAAAGGCAATATATGTGAAAACCAGTGAAATCTGCCTCAAAAGAACTCGTGCAATAAAATTCTATGGTAGATGTGCTATTACACAGACATTATGTAAGAAGAAACTCTCCCAAAAATGCATTTTAGAATACAGCAGTTAAGTCTTGGTCTGAAATATCTTCTTGGAAGAACTTCTCTCATGCCTTAAATTGAAAATAGCAAAAGACCATCAGGGTAGTAGGACCTAAATTTGTCTCATTCTTCCCCAGATTTCTTCATACAGTCATGGTTGGATTTAGAATATTGGGGTAGATGAACATTTGCTTTGACTGAGTACAAATACTTTCTACAATTTTAGTAGACATAGTTAATTCATTTTTGATTCTGTTCAATATGTTGTGTTCATACTTTGGATCCATACAAAAATGAACAGGATTGGTAATCTACTTTACTACTATTTTATTTTAGCTTCAGGAATTAATATTCCTGTTCTAGCTAACACCATAATGACTTATGTAAAGCATCATTGGTCCAATCCTGTAAGAGATGGAATTCTTCACTTCTGTGAAATCAGTAAGAGCTGAGAACACTTTGTGTTTTAAAGGATCTTGAACATGTGACAATGAATGAGATTTAAGCATCCATTAAGAGCTGCACAGAAGTGCTTTTCTGATTCTGGGCTCTAAAACATTACTGAGCTATTCATGGGCTTTTACACATCATTTTGTTGTTAACATATGCCTGCTCAATTTCATCCTGCTTTATTCTAATCCTTTTTTACTCCCCTAAAGTCTAAGACCTGTTTCCAAACAAGTGTACAGTAACAGAACAGTACAACATCAAATCAGCCTTTGTCTCAAAGGATAACTAATGGTTATGTCAATAAAGGAATTCCCCTTCCAAAGAGAACATTTATACCCGCAGAGAAACAAGAGACAAAGGCTGTTTTGCATGATGACATGTGCTTTCCATAAAAACTACATACTGTATACTGTTCCAAGACAGGCCTGAACCACACCCTGAGGCTGAATATCTTGGAATGTCTGACATATGGAATCTAGGCTAGAGATGAGTTACAACTATTTTCATGCAAAAATGTTTTCCTCTATTTCTGCGTGCTAAAGCCCTCCTTTTTTAACTGAGCATCACTAAGGGGATAAAGGAGAACAATAAGTAAATCTTACAGATGGCAAATGATACCTGGCATTACTTAAAGATGATGCATTTAAACTTTTTTTTTTTTTTAATTTCAGAAAAAATAAGCGTTCTTGCAAAAGAATGCAGAACATACAATTTGAGGGAGGGAAGCCAAACTCCAAAATAGGCTAAAATAGATGACTAAAGAAAACAGAAAATAAAGGGTTGGGACACTTTATAGCCACTTCGCAGTTGCAGTTCTTTAAAAAATGGGAGTGAATTTTCTACTTATCACACCGCAAGCAGTTGACTTGGAAAATCCATTCAGTGCTTATTCTTTGTAGAGCTCTTTATGGTAGTTAAAGAATAGCTTGAAAATACATAAAAAGAAAAATAGAGGGGATTTTGGGAAATTGTCTGCAAAACTACCTTTTCCCTAAAGGCAGTTTCAAACGACAGGATTTTTTTTAGGCTACTGATTGTGTCACAGCACTTAAACAACAAAGAATGATACTGTTTATATTTTCCCTAAAGTTATTTGAAATGTACTTTTGAAAGTAAAAATATAAGAATTTTCCCTCAGAATATAATCACAGAATCATAGAATTTCCCTTCTGGGAAGTGAACCATGAGAATCACTGAGTCCGACCGCTGGCTCCACACACTATCACTCAAAACCCAAATCATATTTCCGAGACTGCTGCCCAAACACTCCATGAACTCTGGCAGCTCGGAGGAACCTGTTGCATGCCCACCACTCTCTGGTGCAGAACCTTCTCCTATCACCCAACCTGGCCCTCCCCTGGCACAGCTCCATGCCATTCCCTCAGGTCCTGTCACCGTCACAGAGAGCAGAGCTCAGCGCTGCCCCTCTGCTTCCCATGAGGAGCCGCAGCCGCCATGACGCCTCCGCTCAGCCTGCACTGGCCCTATGGCTGCCAGGGCACACTGCTGGCTCAAACTCAGCTTGCATCTACCGCAACTCCCAGATCCTTTTCTGTGAGGCTGCGCTCCAGCCTCTCATAGCCCGATTTATACACATAGCCAGGGTAGGCCCATTCTAGATGCACAGTCTGGCACTGGCTCTTGTTAAACTTCAAGTGATTTGTGTTTGCCCAACCCTTTAATTAGACTTGTCTTTCAGCAAGGCCTCCCTACCTTCTAGGGAGTCAATAGCACCTCCTAACCCAGTATCATCTGCAAACATCCTTAATATGCATGACTATTGTGTTCCCTGAAGAGAATAGGCACTAAAATGGAGTCCTGGAGATCCCCATTAGTGACTGGCCACCAGTCTCACATAACCCTTTTACTATAACCCTTTGAGCCTAATCCATTAGTCAACTGTTCATCCATCATGCTGTGTACTTGGTTAGCTATATACTGGACATTTTGATAATGAGAGACACCATCTGAACTTTGCTGAAATCCAAAAAGATCACATTTACTAGCTTTCCTCATCAACCAGAAAGATGACTTTGTCATTAAAGAAAGCAAGGTAGTTATGCAGGACTTTTCTGTCATAAACCCATGTGGGCCATGACCAATGACTGCACTGTCTTTCAAGTGTTTTCCAATAACTCCAAGAATAATCTTCTCCATAATTTTAACAGGCACTGAAGGGAACAGTTGAGTAGTGATGATTATAGATTATCATCTTCAGACAGTAGAGGAATAACAATACCTGAAAACAATGGTAAGGATTCAAGTGATGTTAATGCCATTAACATTTTTATGCAAACTCTGAATATACAATGAACCTTTGCTCCATTCTTGTAAAACTGAATCATCAGTGTTTCCACTGTGGCTTGTTACACTTAATTTTCTTGAGGACTTTCTCAAAAATGCAGAAAAACTGCATTAAGAGAAGATCAATGACGTAAGTCTCAACATGCTTCTTGTTCCAAACCTTTAGTCAATTATGCATGTCATGCACTTAGGAAGCTCCACTCCAAAGTGTGTTTTTTATTCAAGGAGATGTTGTCTGAATCTTGAACAAATCAAAACATGGCAATTTGATCCCCAGGTAATGTTTGCCAGAATGTTAAGAATTCTGCACTGTCTTGGAATGTAAAAATAAATGCACAATTGTGCAGTCCAATTAAAACTTGCTGAAAAACACTTGATAAAAACACCTCTGTTAAAAAATCTTTGCCAACACATGCATTCAAAACTGCATTTTTAAGATGCTTTGGTTTTGTTTTTTTGCAAAAGTGTATTGCTGACTTAGATCCACTTATTTTACCATGCGGTAAAAAGGTTTTTTTTATGCTCTCATTGATTATCAGGAGCACAGTTAATGAGCCCATCAGTAGTGAATGAGTTTGTTTCTGCCCTTTAACCTCAGTAAAAGCCTGTAACTGCTGAATGCAAGAAGATCCTCTAAGAGAACCCAGCACAGTAACACATTAAAACATAGTTTTATCCAATCTTCACATAGCTTGCTTCATTATTTGCTAAGTCACAAATATCTCTTTTAAACTGATGGCAAGTGAAGCAATGGAATCTTAAAGAAATTAGAACTAAGATAAATGGAAAATTCTTCCTTCTTTGTTTCTGTGCAATATTCATCTATACTGCGAAATCTTGGGGTTACACAGTAAGTGCGTGAGAGATTACTAGTGACTACATATTTGTGATAGCTGATCAAATCTCTGCTGTCTAATCTCCAAAACATACGAGGGGGACTCAACCTGTAATGTGCTATGGGCATCAGCATTGTGAGGTTGGCTATATATAGCCCTTCACACCAGTTTCTAAAAAATTTCAAAAGCTTTTTCAGAAGTTATTAGACACTGCCATTTTAAGAACTTTAAAATCTTCAAAAGCATTAAAGATTATTTTTCCTTCTAAACCCTCCTTACTCTTTGTCTACAACTCCTCTAGAGTCACTATACCAAGTTATAACTTATTTATATACCCAGCTGCCTCTGAACTTGTAATTTCCATCAGAGCAGTATTAAGAGTTCACTTCAGAATTGCAATGCAGTCTTTGCCTGGTTGTTGTGTCAAATTTTTGAACATAAACCTACCTTACTTGCTTTCTCTTCACCTCTGGCAAATCAGAACTTCAATGGTGCATGATGATTGGAAAACACATCCCTAAGATCTGCTTTTGGTCATGTAACCTCCATATTTTACTGTCATGAAATCCAACCTCTAGACAGTCAAATCATATCCTTTCCTCTTCTTATTCCCACATATATTGTCTATTCCTACAACTCTGTGTTTAGCATTTTAATTCGCTTGTTTTCTTGCCGTAAGCATCTGGAAGTTTACCTGGCAATGAAAATGGAGACAGATTATCCTGTTCATTTTCCTCCTCTTGGTTCACCACAGGAATGTTCCCATTTTCAATATTCTGATGTCTCCCATTCTGAAGTGGTTTGCTCGAGCCATTTGCAGATTGGATTAACCGCTGGCGCTGCACAGTATTGAAGACAAAACTGCTGTAAGTTTCATTCTTGACTTTTTTACACCTTGGTTTTGTGAACTGTCCAGCTCAAGTCATGTGAGCCATGATGTTTCTCCACAAAGCCTTCCTTTGCCAGCAACAAGCAAATCTGTCTGAGGTCTATCTGTTTGTATGAGATCAGTGTTGACCACACACCCCAAAATTAGTGGCATGAGTACTGCAAGCCACGATCAACAAAGTTTTGAATCTTTTCTTACACACCACATCCCCATTTCTTGTCATAAATATAGGTACTACAGTACTATTTCAAAAGCAAGATTAACTTGTGGTGTCCTTGTTCAAGCACGTAAAATCTCACAAAGCTCATACATTGCCCCTACAGACAGTTACATTCAAAATACACAGTGAGAGTATATATCAGTATATATACTACTTACTATGCTGGAGAATGTGAAATGTAACACTAATTTCCTACTCTTGTATTAAAAAAATAATAATTTACTTTACTACTTAGTATTAGTAAAAATTTAATTTACTACTTAGGTGAGATAACAGAGTTGATAAATGCCATCTTTTTAATGACAAACCGCTGCACCTTCATATAAACTCCTCTGATTTATCTGGAAAAATAAAGTAACTGAATGACATGCAAAAGAAATCTAGTATTAAAACACAGTAATTAAAATAGAGAAAACTCTGCAAAGCTTTGGCAGTGAGACTACATAACAATATAGATTCAAAATGCCCTGATATAGAGAATGTTTTCTGCAGATGTTGAGCAGCTAGCAAGCATCAGCTCTCTGGGCGCATAAGTATTAAGAAGTATTTATTTCTGATAAATGAACTGCTCTAAAGAAATGCTTTTACAGAGACAGCTGCTACTTCGTGTCCTATCTGGTCTTTCCCCTGTTAACTGTATTTCATGCAAGGTCACAACAGTGTCATTTGGCCAGTCCTGTCACTTCAGCTGCATGCAGGGTATGAAACAAGCAATACACAGTGGTGACAAGGCTTTAATTAAGAGCTAACCAAAACTGTTCAGAGCAAATCCTCTCATGAAAGGATTTTAGTGCATTTTCATTTTGAGTCAATGACTATAGTGAAGATTACAAAGGCAAGCAAACATCTGTTGTGCTCCTGATGTACTGCTCATAAAAGAGGAGTTCTCACAGACTTTTGATTTGCCTGCCCGCTATTCTTTCTTATCTTGAGCACTTTTCTAATGGTCAAAAACAATTCTTCTGCAGATAAAATCCAAATAGTGCATACACACACACTGAACAAACATCTGGCAGGAAGAGAAGGGAATCTCTCCTTGGTGACTGCCCTTCTACTAAGACAGACAGCATAACCAACTGGGAACTCACCTTCAGTTCTGCTGTGACGTAGGTTATTGCAGAAAGTTCTAGCCCATACCCAGAAACATGGTTGAAGCTCAATTCCATAATCACTATGACTTCTTGGCAACCCCTCTGCCTCACAGATACTTACTGTTTTTGTAACAAACCTACCTCATTAATTATAATTCGGCTTGCCATCCGCATTCTGGTACGTGGTCCAAACTTATTTGTGATCATAATCCGTAACCCAGCTTCAGGAAACCGGTATTTGGGGGGACTGGAGCAGATGATCTCATCCACCATCACAACACTGTTTTTGCCATACTGCTGCACACCCTTCACTAATGACCACAAATGGACAAAGTTAGTTGTAAGATCCACTCTTCCCATTGCCCAAATTTGTTCTCTTCAGGCACGGATTAACACTGAAGTGAATATGTGAATTTTTCAGTGACTTTCCTGCAATATTTCTGCAGCCTGGTGAACTTGTTCATCAGTGTTGCATCTCATTTAGACCACATGATGAAAAGTGATTTCACTCCAGTAAGGCAGACACCAACATGCTCTCAGATGCCCACTACTAATGTAGTACCATTTTATTTTATTTTTCATGGCTTTGTAAGCCTTCTCCAAAAGCACGCACATTGTGAAAGCACAGATAGCACTCCCAAAACCTATAAAGTTATCTTGCTATGGGTGCTTAATAGATACTGACGCACAACAAGTAGTCCCCAATGTTTTGTTTACTCCTCTTGGAAAAGAAAGCACAGAATACTATCATATCTTAAACATTTTAAGATTTTAAATTCTGAAAATCAGCAGTTGTCCAGGAAAAAAAAGAAAGTATATTTTGAGTAAGCCTTTGTTAATCTAAAGGAACTTGTAACGAGGTGACGGGTTTTGTTCTATGATGTGAGAACACAGAGAAACAAAATTATATTCTATCAACACAAGTATAGGCGAGGACTTTTAAAGCTTAACAACAAATCAATATCCTCACAAATGCTACAGACTACATACACCACATAAAGCAAGGCTCAGCAGACAGGAGACATACCCATACGGTGTTAGAAAGCAGGGCAGAAGATATGCATGACTGCAATAATTATTACACAATATTATATTAGGAAAAAAAAATTATTTGCTCCTTGTTTTACCGCTCTGCTTAGCTTATCTTCACCCTCCCACTCCCCTTTTACATTGTTACTTACATTAAGAAGAGGAAGAGAATGTAGGAGGTAGAAGTGAAAGATAAATATTAGTGCATGGTTCCAGCCAGGAAGCAAAGAAATCTAAGGAAACATTCAACTCAAGCAAAGGAATTATAATGGACCTGTTCTAAACACACAGAAATCTACACAGTTATAGTTTCCACTGTTACAGTGATGAAATATTTTTGTTTGTCAGAAATAAGTTTTTCTGGATCCATACAGACATGTAAAACATTATGCAATAAAGGTTGTACTGCCTCAAAGCATCTTCTAACAAAGTTATTTGAAAGCTGAAGTAACCTTCCATTTAGTTAAACACAAAAAACCAGCAAGCCTCTAAATCATCAGTAAATGGCTACATCTTTTACCCTCCTGCATGTCAGTGTGTTGCTTTGTTTCACTACAAGGAGTTAAGGAGATAATGGACTACAAGGAGTTATCTGTCACATTGGGGTGACCTGAGAAGTTAAACAGAGATCTTTGGTTTCACAAAGAAATGTTCTTCCCCAGCAATACACTCTGTAATCCTGTCTTGCAGTTAAATCTCTTAAGGTGAAGAGAACTAGAAGCATTTTGCATTTGGCAAACATAAAGGAGCAATTAACTTCTCCCTCTGACATTTAAAACAAATTCACCTTGCTGAGCATTTCAACTGATGATACAAGCGAGGAGCCCAGCCATTCTTGACTCTTACAGTTAGTGTGTAGTAGCTTTTCCTGTGAAAGAATATACAAACAAACTACGAAGAAATCAGGCCTTGCAGAATACTGCCCAATCACATTAGCTAACATTTGCCATAGTTAGACAATGAAAAAAATTTTTTTACGTCATCCCCGGAAAAAATGGCCAGATGTCTTTTTAAGTCTCATCAGATTAATTGCACTCAAGTGAATTTTTGGTTAAGTTTCCATAGTGCTTCTTTATCTTAAAGTATTACGAAAATAGCATGAAAGCATTGCAGTTGCTTTAGAATTGCCTCTTAAAACAATAAGGGAACAGTGACAAAATGAACTCATCCTTGATAAAAACTGAGTAAAGATGTAAAATAAATCTCTGTATGTATATGAATAACTGCAGCTGTTCTGACTTACTGCAGCAAATCACTCACAGGTTTTAATAACAGCTCTGTAGTCTTACTCTATGTGCCTATAAATATAGACACGTTGTCCCCATACAGGACAAATAAGCTCCATCTAAAAACTGCAAAAATCCCACATCTTCACAATTGTGCAACAGTTAATTTTTTTTTTCAATTCTCCTTTGTGATATTCCTGAGACAAATATCTTCTGAGAACACCTTCTTCTTTTGACAAACTTCCCATATTTCCTGCTCAACATGAGGGACTTCACCTACAGCCCTGCCAAAGTCAACAGAAAGCTTCCTGCTGACTTCAATTCACCTCTAATCAGGTTATCACACAAAAAATCCCCACTTTCATCAAGAGCTTCTGTTTTTAGGCAGGCATCAAATCATGCCACCTGGTGGAAATTATAAGAAAAGTCATGTCTGTGCTTTAAAATAGGAGCGCTATTTAAAGTACTAATACTTCACCTTTACCTGTATGTCTAGGATTTGCCCTCGGAAGTGACTTCAGTTTAAAGCAAAAAGCTCTCCTTTTTCTATGTGCAACTACACTAATGGAAGCTTTTAGATTGTAGCAGTGGAAGCTCTAGAAAATAATTTAAAAAAACGAGCTGCATATTACATATATATATACTGTGAATTAGCAGTGCTGCTGTTTCAGAAAGACACTCCTGAAGGAGGTGCAGCTCAGCTTAGGAAGCCAGCGAAGTGCCAACTAACAGGAGGTGACCGATATGGCACATGGCATGTGTCCTATTTTGATTTGAGGGAAGCAGAATAGGGATCCACATGATGGTTTTCCAGGACAGTTTCTTGACACATAGGGTATCCATATCCATCAAAGGAGCAACTAGGCTGGCACCACCATCTTTCACTACCCAATCCAAACTCCATTATCTCCTTAACTTGTTTATCTCCTCTGCTCTTTAACTGTGATAATGCCTACACTCTCACACTTCTCACAATGGTCCCTCTAATGTGGCATGTATTTTTTGCAATGAATGCTCAAGAAGGCAAAGGGAATCTCACTGAAATTGTAGTCTCAGTGCCTTTTTTTTTTTTCTTTAAAGAAATTTACAGTGGACAACAGCTACTGGAAAAACCATTCCTATGTGCCTGGGTTTTCTACATGAAAAGGAAATAGGTGGACGGGCAAGCAGTCTGTGTTATTTCCCTCTATCATAGAGTGGCCATAGAGATGAATCTTCGAAGTATACAACAGAATCATGGAATCCTAAGAACTCTCCAACCTAAATCTACTCTTGCATTTCCTCTTGTATCACCACAGACCCTGCTAAAGAGTCTGCCCCCTTCTTTCTTGTAGCTTCCCTTTAGATACTGAAAGGCTGCTATCAGGTCACCTCACAGCCTTCTCTTCCCCATGCTCAACAGCCTCAGCTC